CATATTTTTAATATGAACTTACTAATAACTGATGACCAACATATATAGTATGAAAAACTCAAGTACGTCCCGAGCTCTGACCGATCATAGTATCTTCATTTTTTCATGGTCCTTTAGATGAACCGAAGATAGATGAATAATACTTCAAGTTGTCAAAAAACAACCTTCAGCTTTCGCTCAAGTTGCAAATACTGCACCATATATTTGTTTTCAACGTGATCAGTCATTGTAGTTGCTAGAGAAGATACTCAAATTGTCCATACTAGAACTGATATCTTATAAAGACAAAATAAAGAAAAAGAAAATATGAAAAATACATAACGATCCAAAGGATGTGGAGACTATTTTGGATCAAGTCAAAAATGAATTGCATTTATCATAATTGATGTTGAAAATGAAGTTAAATATATTTGATTATGATGTCATAGAAACAAATCTAATTCTGTTCAATATGATATTGCTCTTAAAAAAAATAAAAGCATAAATGATGAAAATCTTTCTTGATTTTGAAATTATAGAAGTGATTTATTAAAAGCTTATCCAAATGTTACAGTTGTTAATAGCAGAGTACATGTTATTTATTTTTATTTAAAAGCAACGAACAACAAATATTTTTTTGCGTCTTGTGTAAATGAAATAAGAATCAATTTACCAAGTAAAATAATCAGCTTTTCGTTCAAAATCGTACGTACAAACAAAAATAGGATATATTTAATTTTAGTTTACAGGATATTCTGTACGATGGTCTTCATCTGTAAATGCAACATGTTCATAGAAATAAGTCGATTATTTTCAAATAGCTGTTTTTTTAGTTTGTAAATCATGCACAAAATGATTTAATTAAGTACGCAAAGTTGGCATCGGATTCGAGTATTTCCAGCCCCGATTCGCTTTCCGACCTGCGTTGCATCTGTACGAATAATCGCATGTAAGCCGCGACTAACGTTGCTCAATCGATCTCATTGATTTGGCTGATACTTTCATAGTAGATAAATCTAATAAGGTTAGGAAGAAGCTGAAAATTTTCAGCTAAAGCGGATAAACTCTTCTCGAGATATAGAATTTAAAACTATTGGTAGCCAGGGAAAATTGGAAATTTTTGATAGTGCAATACTTTTCAGTAAATTTTGAGTTTATAAAGAACCATAAAACTTATTACCGAGAGTATCTCACTATAAATACAATTGAACATGGACTATCTTGTCATAGTAACAAAAATCCTTCATCATCAGATATTTTTCGCTTGATACCATATAATTTTATCAAAAGGCATGTACACGTGTTTTGAGCAAGTTGATCGAATCCGCGCAGTAACATAGTTCTAGATTAGTTTCATTCGAAAGAGCAAATCAAATTTGCATCTGCTGATGCTTTCAAAAGAGTTGTAGGATTGAATTTTTTCTATAGTGCTATTTTTCAATGATATTTTATTTTTCATCGAAAATTCTCATTGATAACAAATATAGTTATATTCAATATTTTTCATACTTCACTTTTGTAAATTGACGCGGGTGTAGGTGTGGATGTGGGTGTGGGGTGCGGGTGTGTGGGTATGGGTGTCGATGTGGGTATATTATTTTCGAACACACGCACACCCACACCGACACCCACACCCACACACCCACACTCACACCCTACATATCTAGAAAAAATTTTAGTTGAATTGGTCAAGTCATTCTTGAAATATATTGTCAACACTTCCGTTTAGTCGAAGTGCAGATGTTCAGGATTTTTCGTATACCATCCACACACAAAAACAAGTATTCAATATTTTTTAAAACGAATTGCGTTAAAATTCAGAAAACTATCTTCTCAATAACGAAATCTTAAATTGAGTCAAATTTCAAGGTCAATTGATTGAGAAAGTCTAGTTGTGTCTTATTATGTAAAGTAATTTATATGTGAAATCCAATTATAAGTCTTAAAATTGAAAAAGTAGGTTCTTTGCTATTTTTCTTATACTACATTATAAAGATCTGATATTTTAGGGATATATCTAACTCGACTAGGCCTATTTACTGAGAAAAGATATGGGTCATTGTGGGTCATTGTAGATTGAAAAAGTCAATGTTAGTTGGAAATCTTCCTTATTTTACAACCATTTGGATCATTGTGGATCTTCATAGAATCGACTCGGCGAGCTCTATCTACCTGTGGTCTCAGCTGTTGATTTGGGGGTCATTGTGGGTCATTGTGGGTCATTGCGTGTTTTACAAATACCCGAAAAATGATATGTAACGAGATTGATGACTAAAGTTTTTACTCGAAATTCGCCAAAAACCTTTATTCTAGATGCTTTCAGACAACCATAAATGTATTGATTTCATCATACATGTGTTTAGTAAATCAGATATAGGTGAGATACCATTCCTATTTGAGTGTCATACCATCGATATATATAAGAATAAGTTAAAATTTTGAAAAGAAAGCTTAAATAAATGTAGACAATAAAAAAAAAAGAACAAAGAAAATCTTTTAAAAAAATTCTTTCTCAATATTCGATAAACTTTTGTGTGTGTGTATAGATAATGTAAGAGCAAAGTGGATGATTAGTTTGATCATCAGTGAGAGTGATGATATATTTATCACCTTCATATCTTCGATTATGAATTATCAGCATCGACAGTTTAAACTCTTGTTTGTTGTGTTAGAGACCATTGTATTGCTACATCATAAGTGGGTGATGGAGTTTCTGGTAGTATATCTTCCTGTTGCTGTTCTGCATTTCTTAACGAGATTTCTCTCTATCGGTGTTGTTGATATTGTCGTTCATTTCGCAATTCTATTGGATATAAATATCTCAATATGAGTAGTGTCGTAGATATAATAATTAAAGACAAACCACCAACTAAATAAGCATAGACATTTGTCGTCGATGGTTTATTCCATTGCCAAGTCCCCTGAAAAATTGATGTTTGATTTCGAGAATGATAACACAAATATGTCTCATTTATCTAAGGACAATCAGAAAAGACAACGGTTGATTATATTTAAAAAGTAACCTTATATTGATGTGCTCATCTCATGTTGTGCTTTCTGATGGAAAAACCTTTGATGAAAGCAAAAAGCCTTCCATTGTTTCATTGTAATGTGCGATGGTGATATTCCATCGCGAATAAAGTTCACAATTTTTGAATTTAAAATCAATTGATTTAATTTGACATTGATGAATATGAAATGTATTAGATTTATATAATTCTTCTAAACCAAAACTTGAGAATATAATGCCAAAAAAATAGCTCAAAATAAGAAGAATAACAAGAACAGAATTGCATTTTACAACAAGAAGATCTTTGAATATTGAACTCACTTTTACAATTCAAGAGGAAAAATTTACGTCATAGTTCAGAGATAGTTGGTAGATAGGTCCTATCGCTTCAGCATCAATAGAAAATACTTTTGCCTTATTCAGTCGAGGGTCAAGTGAGTCGAAGCTACGAACGTTACTTATTAATAACATGCAAAATATAGTCAAAGTTAAAATCAGTCATTTGGACATTAACAACCATACAACCATATTAGATAATAAACATGAATAATAATACACAAAGGAAGACTAAATAATTTAACGCACTGCATTTAGCTTCAATGTCTTTTTTATTTTTTCCTTTTGCGTTATCTTTATCAAAATCAGCTTGACATGATTCGCATCTATTGCAGAAATTGCATTTTGGTTTTGCATTCTCGTTTGTTGTGACAGATTCTATAGCTTCAAGGGAAATATCCTGTCTCGTCCCAATGCTTCCCACTCTAATCTTTCTTTGAAAACACGAAGAAAATAGTTTTTGGCAGCAAACACATTTCATTTTTTGAATGTTGATACTTTCTTCACACCCAGACTCGTTAATTTCACCATTCTTAACAATAACATCCTTCTTTTTATTTTTCTTATCATCATCTTTTGATGGTGAACAGTAGCAAAAGAACACTCTTTGCAACAATCCACAAAAAGCATAAACTGACTTTGGCATTTCAGTATTTGTTATAAAATGATTACATATGATAAACCATGCCATCGATATTAATGTCCAACAAATGCATAACAAAAAGTATAATGTAATCATCATTAAATATGCAGACTGTTGTGGAAATAAATTGGAAAAATTTAATGAATAAACAGAATATGTCAAAAAACATGTCATAGCTGTAAATGAAAACATAATAAGTTCGATCTAGTATATTGAAGAAAAAAATATTCTTACATAGACCAATTTGTGATCCAAATGGTAATGCAAATGATAACAAAGTAACAAAGTTTAAAACGAAACATGCAAATATACCATTCATTATAAAAAATAATGGTTTTCTTTCGAGATATAACTGTATTGATATTATATCATTGTAAGTATCTTCAAATGGTGTTCGATCTTCTGCTTGAATTACAATCATATCTGTTCCATTCAATTTCCATAAAGGATGTTCAGTATAGTCATTAGTATCAACAATTACTACACTACCATTTTCTCTATATGTGATTCGATTGGATTCTTGGCTCCATGATGTTAAATTGATAACGCATATTTGTTTATCAAATGGAAACTTTTGAACATTGAAGTCACATCTTGTTCTTATTGTTAATGCTGGTATTATCATATATACTTTACCTGTATATTAAACAGATGCCAAACTATAATCACTCACAGTGAGATGACCACTTGTATCTGCTGAATTTAATATCATTGTATCTGGTATCCATAAACTTTTAACTGGTAGCATAACTACTTTAATATTATTATTTTTAGCATTTGATGTCCATGATAATCGACTATCGTACCATACTTATGAAATAGATGAACTTGATGTCATTATTTGTTGTTTTTCATCTATAGATATAATTTGTTCGAGATCAAAATCGACCTCAACAAATACTTGATCATCTGGTCTGATATTTTTGTTATATTCATTTAATAATGTTGTTATTAGTGTTTGTTCGGCTAGTTGGGAAGTCGATAGTGTTCCACAATCACAGAAGTAGAATAAATAGTGTACCAGGATAATAAAAGCTACCAATTTTATCATTTTGAGATTATTTATAAATGTTTTGTTTGTTCTATTGAATGATGTTTTCTTTGCGAAGTCTATTTCAAACAAGCTATAAAATAAAACTCAACATTTTTTCGCTTCGCGAAGAAAGATCAACTATACAATCATAGTCGAGTTAAAAAAAAACTCTATCATCTTTCGTTTTAGCAATATGTTATGGTGTTTTTTTTAACCTTTGAAGAGCTTTGTTTTTGAACAATCGTCATGAGCGTGGCCACCTTCGGCCACAAAATGCTTAAAGAATGTCATAACTGATATTCGATGACGGTTTACTTTTTGGAGAGAATCGATACAGAAACAAAATTTTCGTTTCCGAAAATAGTATCATTGCAGAAGCATAATCAGGTTTTAAAGAGTTGAAACTTAATTCTAGAAGATTTTAACTCATTATGCTTTCTATAAAGCATAACTTTGAGTAATAGTCGCGGGCATGAACGCCTTCGGCGTTAAAAGATTCAGCAACTTTATTGAATTCCGTACGAAGGCAATTTTCTTCCTTACACGACTAAACGGTAATATTGAATTTCTTTGTTCATTTTCTAAGATGTTCGAGAGTCGAAAACAATTTGTTGCAACGTAAATGGACAAAAAACATAACACTAATCCTGTTGAAAACGAGTCTAGTTCTATTCCTATTTCTAATTAACTCGGAGCATCAGCGATTCATCTCTTGTTTGTTACTTTTTCTATTTTTATACTTCTGAGTGTCTCTCTACTTTTTCAATATATGCTTTCTGTATATAACACCGAGCCTGTATTCAGGTGAAGAACCGTTGGAGTTTCGTACCTGTTTACTGACCCTAAAAAAGCTTAGGTAGTAATCTACTAAACCTTTTTAGATTCAGTAAACCGATACGAAACCCCAAAGGTTCTTTACATGAATACAGGTTCGGTAATAAACCTAGTTTTTTACAGCGAAACAACTAAAAATATGTGTTTTTCAGTACACAATACCTCAGACAAAAATCTTCCCCCTCCGAAGTTTGGAGGGTCGGGCCACCACTGTACATCACCCGTCTTGTTGCATAATAAATATTTCGAAAATGCTCAATATTAAAAAGGTAAATTGAAGTCATTTTTGTTTATTAAGGGGGCCCCCACCCTAAAATTTATTTTTACTTTGGATCATCCAATCTTGCTGAATTTTTCCGAGGAGGTATATCCTAGGCTGGGTATCTCACAGTAAAAATTTCCGCTCGAAATATTGAGCCTACAAAGTTTTAACTCGAAATTAAGGGTCAAAATATGGGTAATCGTGCGTCCCAAATTTCTCTGTCATTGCAAACGCTAGAAAGCTGGGGCTGGTTTTAAAATGTAGCCAGGATCCGGCGCTAAAAATTAACAGAGTCCGATTTTTCTTTTTGTTTTCCATTATTATCTTTTGTTCATATCATCATTCTGTTTCTTGTACATTTGATCAAACTCTGTTGGTTTTTTTCTTTTCTGCACACGCATATAAATTGCTCTTTTTCTTTTTTTCATTATTTTTTATATGTTCTTTGATCAAAATACGTGGATGATTATGCGTGTATTCTACATTCTGTATGTTTTATTTCTTGTTTTTTTATACACATATTGATGGAACTATTAAAACCAATATAAATATATGTAGTGTTTCATAAATTATTTTATTATTAATAATATAAAAATATACATAAACGCTTTATAAGTATAAATAAACGCAAGAATTAATAATATCAAGAAAACAATCAGGAATTATTTGAAATATAGATTTGAATTTATTGATATCGTTTGAAGATATGTTACATATACATATTAATAATTTTTTTTTTTGAATTTATACAGCCAATTAAACGATCAGCAATTTGTTGAATTTGTTGAACATTGATGTTGAGTTTTAAATAATTAATGTTATTAAATAAACTTAAAATCATATTTATGGTATAAAAATCGCAATTATCTCGTGTTGTAAAAGATTTAACATGATTATTGTTTAATAAATCATTATAACATTCTATGTTTTGTATAATATTATAAGTACGATTACATACAAATATAGCTTGTATATTGATTGAAGAAATATTTGATGCATAATGTAATAATTCAAGTATATTGTCAAAACAAAAATATATGCTTTTGATATATAAATGATTCAGTTTTTTAAAACATACGACATGATTAAGTATTTTGAAAGATATATAATTTATATCATGACCTAATGTTAATGTATTCGCATTTCGAAAATTATTTAAATGATTGATTGACATTTGTTGTTTTCCAAATGTGAACATGTTTAACAGCATTTAAATTCATATCAAGTTCAAGTTGATTTGCAGGTTGATATATGTGATAATGTTTTCTATAAAAAGAAAAAAGATATAAATAATAGCGTACTTATTGGATGATTTGTTGTTGAATTATGCATTAAAAGAAAAGTCATAGAAATAATTTTACCTATATGGATCAATTGTATAAACAATACCACCATCTGATGATTCTTCATCAACATATTGGTAATTGAAAAACCATTTTCTTTCAATCCAAAACGATGAATTAAAATTTTCAATTAATTCATTTAATTGAAAATGATTAGGAATAGATGTGGTATTATCAATTCCATCATAATATAAACTAAATATACTTAAATCTGGTATATGATTTATGATTAATTGTTCCCATTTAGTTGCTTGAATATAATCTTGATCATTATTTGTATTGATTGATAAGATTTGAATATTTTCAAAAAAATTCTTCATTACTTGTTCAAATTCATTGAACTTGATGTTGTTCAATTTCAATGTAACATGTTTTAAATGAGGCACAATAATTGGTTTTATTTCTTTTGTTGTTGATGATGTAAGTCTATCAATTGATAAACGACGAATTTGAGGGAAGCACGAAAATAAAATATCTAATGAATTTGTTGGAAAATCAGCATTAATAATTAATTGTTGTAATGGACTAAAAATTGTTGCATCTATAACCAAGTAATTTGTATCTGTTTGGGTTGGGACTGTTTTATATTCAACTTGACAAAATGTTAATTTTGATAATCCAAATATTTTAATATAGAATATATTTATATCATCTATATTATCAATAACATTTATAGTTAATGAATATAATTCTGGTAAATCCATTAAACAATCAAGAATATTTTTAATATATGTTGATTTAATATCATAAACACGTAATATTTCAATTTTACTAAATTTTGAAATACCATATGATGGTAAAAAAAATGTATGAACTATAAATGGATTTGATACATGAATAAGATTGATTCGGTGTTTATTAGGAAGAAGAAAATTTTTATAATAAAGTTCAACATTTGGTATTGATAAATTTGTTATAATAATTTGAATTGGAACAGATGAATCAATTAATAAACCTTGAAATCTTTGATTAACATTGAAAAAAATTTGATAAACATCATATATATCAATATACTCGAATATATCATATAGAATTTCGTTAGATAGATCTTCAAAGCACGTCGTGCACTTTCTAAATAAAACGAGAAATAAAAAAATATTGAAAAAACAAATTAGTCTCAATATCTAAGTTGTATAGATCAATTGTCATCAACATTCATCTTTTTGTCTTAGTATTGAATGGAATCTAAGAGAATTCAGATAAGATATTAAAAAGCAATACCTAATAATATGTGTATTTGATAATGATACTGGATCTGTTGATAAATGAGAATAAGAATATTGAATACGTTTAGTTGATGATGAATTTCCAGATATAGAAGAATATGTTCTAAAGACAAGGAATTAAAAATAAAATTTTTTTATGTAAACAATCTTACCTTTTTATTGATCTATTTATAGTCGTAAATCGAGATGTTGTTGATTTTGGTACCGATTGAGTTTCATGATTATTTTATTGTTGTTCAAATATTTTAGTTGTATTTTCAATTGGTTTTGGTGGAATATTTTCCTAATTAATTCATTTAATAAATAAATAAATTGTTTTTAATCTTTTTTTCCTTCTCTTACTTTTTCTTTTTCAGATATATATTGTCCATTTTGAATATTATCAAATAATTGATCAACAAAATTGACAGTTGCTATTAAAAAAATTAATAAGTTTTTTTGAAAAAACAAAAGATTTTCATACATTCATTTAAAATATTTTTAAGACGACGAATACAACTTGCACGAAGTATATTTAATGATTCATCTTCAGTAACAAGTCTAAGAATATCATTAGCAAGACCTATTGGTTCAGCATCACATCTAATAGAAGTAATAAAATAAAATTTTTATTCAAAAAAAAAAGTTCATTTACAATGGTTCAAGTGTTATAACAAGCCAGTCGTGTAATGTTGGTAAGTCGTCGGAAGGGTGGCCAGATGAGGCGCCACAATCAACGTTAACTTCCGATTTTTCCGATTTTTTCACCTTGACTGTAGCGATCAACTGGCCACTCTGGTCGTCGGTTAACATCACAATAAATTGTTTTTCAAAATAAACTTAAAAACCAAAAATATTCTAATTATGTGTTTGTATGTTGTATAAATGTGTGTTTGATTGATTGATTGCTTTGTTTTTTTCTCTTTGTTTTTTTTTTCTTTGTTCTTATTAGTAGTTTGATAAGAATTAATTGAAAAAAGGAACGATAGGTGGCACTGTTTATCGTGAAATAAAATTCTCCAAATTGTGTTTTTATGAGGGTGTGGGTGTGGATGTGAGTATGAGTATGATTTACACTAATAACAGCTCGAAGCACACCCACACCCACCCACCCATACCCACACCCACATCCGCTCCTACGAACTACCACTTGCACCGTTTGCTGTCTAATTATCTACGCGAGAAAAAATTCGAGGACGAGAACGATCTCAAAATAGACCTCCTCAACTTGTTTGACCAAGACTTCCGGGACTTCTATGAACGTGGGATCTTTTCTCTAGCAGGACGTTGCCAGAAAAACATAGATAGTAATGGAGCATTTATTGTTAGAAGTTAGTTGTAATCTGGAAGTTAAAAAGAAAAATAAAACTTTTAGAAAAACGCAAAAAGTTTCGTGCCAACCCAATACTATAAACTCAGTGATCAAGTCGACTAATTTCATCACTTTTTTTCTATTGAAGAAAAGACTCTGTTGAAGTTGAATGGTAGTATTGAAGTTCCTCGTCAGTCATATTGAGCGATTCGCGTAACTTTAACATCATGGTTGCTTGTTCAAAACCTTGCTTTGAAGCTGAAATTCGAGGATCATTTGGTGCCAGTGATTTTATAAAATTTTCATATGATTTTGAAAAATATTTGCATGCTTCTTTCCATTCAAACAAGTGTATATATGTTTTGGCAATATTCATATAATTATTTCCAAAATTGGGATGCTCAGGAAGTAAGTGTTTACTATCAATTTCAATTGCTTTTCCATAAAAAGCGATTGCCTGTAGGGGCTGTTTCTTTTTTAAGTAGATAGTTGCCATTACTTGATAAATGTCTGATAGCCGTGGATTGTTTAAAGGTAGAAGAATGGCAAGTGCGTCTTCTTCGTGTAAAAGAGCCAGCTCAAGTTCGTTTTTCATACAATGAACTTCACCAATTGCATAGTATGTGTTTGCTATTTCCACCTCTCCTGTATGGAATCTACGCTGAAGGGAAAGCCTGTGTTCATAATATAGTAGTGCTTCATCAAATTGTTCCATTTTTCTTGCAACTGCTCCCATTCCTCCATAGCAGTTAACAGCGTCATTAAGAGTCAAAGTTACGTTTTCATTGATAAGTCCTTCAAAAAAATGTTTTGCTTTCTTAAGATCCCCTTGTTTATATAATAGAAAACCAAGAGAGCATATGCCATCGCCTAATTCTTCTTTAATTTGTACCATCAATTGCTTCGATACAAATTCATTTTCCCTGCATAAACTCAGTTGTGCCACCCAAATTTTCTCTCCTTCATTGTATTCAACTTTCTGTATTCGAAAGATTGAACCTAGTGAGATTAAAACTTCTTCTTCCTGCTGGAAACAGCTAGCACTTGATATATTGGCGTAGGGTTTAGTATCTTTTAAACGAGTGTCAATTTGAATTTCAAACAGGACACGAACAAGATTTGTTGTACTACTAGATTGTCCAAACATACTTGCAACTAACCGATTCATGCTGGTTGAGAGAAAGCTATTAAATGTGAGCAATTTATTTTGACTTTCTGCAATGAGATTTAGTTCCTCGAACGAGATACTTTGACCTCTATAGACATGAAATACTTGTTCAGTTGTAAAGCTTTGACGAAACTGCACATGTAGACCACTTAACTGGCGCTGCAAATCGCACAGGAAAAACTTCATTGCAAACAGTATATCAGTGTCATATTCTCTCAGCCCCTTGTTCAACGAACGATACAGAAAATCGGTTTTCGTGTACCACGAAACAGCATGCGTTCGATCGTACTTGTTTTCAAATTCTTTAATGACTCGATCTTCTTGTTGGTTACCGCTGTGAACTTGTCGCCATATAGTTGTCAGATCTCGCTTGGATTTTTCGTCATCTGTTGTCATTTTCATAAGAATATCGATGAACATTTGAAAATACATGAACGACGCATTTCTTTTGTTTCTCTGTTCTTCTATACTTTTATCGTCGCTTGGCTTGCCGTTATAAATATTAATACTTATAGAATTGTCATCCATTTCTTCATGTAAACTTAGATGTTTAAGCTGTTCAACGAGTTCGTCAGTGCTTGTAATAACAACATCTTTGACCTATAAGGAGAGACGGACAATTAATGTTGATGTTTTAAATGTCTTATTGTGAGTATACAAATAGACAAAGTTCAATATACTGGGTATTTAATATACGCATAATTCTCCTAGGTAATTAGTAAATGCCTTCGTGGAAAGGTAAAAATCAGTTAACCCCATACTTCTTTGTCGATGCAAAAGCTGTTTGATGACAATTCTTTTTAAATTTTGCATCTGCACAGCTGAATGAACTACTTCAGAACATTCATTTCTCTTTTTCCATCTTCATGAGTAGATAAAACTTGCCTTTTCACATACTGTGTATATTGTACCTATAATTTACATATACATTGTATTTTCTTGAGTGCTGTTAATTTTTGTTCTGGTTGATCTTGGAAAATTTGACAATAGTTAAGAACTATGCCGTACTCCAGAGAAATTTCTTACAGCTTTCCAACATCAGCCTACTGATATATTAGTCGAGATTTCGTCGACAACAAAGATGAATCATCAAATAGAATAATTGTCGATGAAAAAAATAATGACCGTTTCACGATTGCAGAAATTCATGCGGAATCACGTTTTCCTTATTCGCCTTTTGTCATTTGGTTTTTGGACAACATCGTCAAAGAATAATCAGTCGTTAAAACTCTTCAGCAATATCGTAAGACAAACGAAAACTATGATTTACAACTTACTGATTATAGTAAATCATCAAAAAATACCAACAAAATGAAAGTGATATTTTATTATTCGTCCAAGATGGTCTCTCGTTCTCTCTTTTACGATAATACAAACACTCCCCGAACACAACTACAGGGTGGGTAAAAATGTTTTTCCAGGGAGGTAACACAATAATTTCAAACAGCATACATAGCTAATTTTACACCAAATTAAAGCGCATCGAAAATGGGACTGTTTGATACTAAATTGTAAGAGTTATCAAAAATTTTTGATGTCGAACTTAAGAAATCTTATGTTTTTTTGTCGAATAGAAAACTAAGGCGTCAATGATTCAAAAGTAGATTTTAGTGTTTTCTTCTGAAATTTTTACATGGTTTGATAGAGCTCATCAAGCTCTATAAAACGGTATATATTGAGAATTTTTTAAGCCAGTTTTCTGAAATAAAAAAAATAAAAACCACTTGGAAAACACTAAAAACAGGTTAAAAAATTGGTAGGTTATCATTTGCCACAAATCAGGTTCCCTGAATTCATCCCTAAATGAAATCCACATTTGTGGACAATTCATCAATTAACATCTACACTGGTGACCAAATAGGGATTTTAATTTAGGGATTTTTTTTTCATGGAATGCATGCAATTCATAACGTAACTCAATATTGTCTCGCTTCAACAGAACGAAAAAACTTGTACTATGGAAACCAAATACTTTAGCTAAAATTCTACTGTCTGTAAGCCTATTCTGGTCACCAGAATTGTGTTATGCTCATTATCTATGAGACACAAGACAAGAAAAATGAATTTAGGTGTATATGTAAGAGATCACAGAGAATTAACGCAACATAATTCTTATCATCAGAACAGACTTACGGACAGAAAAATCTTCGCTTCACTACCTGGTTTCATAGTGATTTGGTAGAAATTCTGCTGCCGATAGTCTATTCTGGTCACCAGAATCATGCTTTAGTCATCCTCGGTATTCGCTTACATATATGTTTTTAAATTCATTTTTGTTTTTTTGCGCCTCATAGATAATGAGCATAACACAATTCTGGTGACCAGAATAGACTTATGGACAGAAAAATCTTCGCTGGAATACATGGTTTTCATCGTACTTTAGCAAAGGTTCTACTATCTGTAACTCT